CACACCACATTCTCTGCCTACTGTTATTGTATCGACCAACCCTTTAAGAAACATCACAAGGTAAAAAAGGCTCGAAGTTATTACAACAATCAAGTTCTTTACAATTTTTGTCAGGCTATGCAAAGAATCAAGTAATACAAATTGTGTCATGTTATTTGTGGAAGTTTCAATACTTCGATGCTTTTGTTTCAGTTCCTCATGTTCCTGCTACAATTGCACTTGAACTCGATGGTTCTTGCTCTTCTTGTTCATTCTCCAAACCACGCGGTAACTCCTCGTGTTTCTCCTTCTCGCCTTGCCAAACCCATACGATATCAGCCAGAGCAGGCCTGAGATCCTCCTCCACTAGCTTCTGATACTCCATAGTATCCCCATTACATTTCTTCACTTCAACAACGTGAAACGTCTGCGTCACTTGGAAAATTTCTGCATTTATCGACAAAATCCCTTTTCTTCCTTCCTTTGATCCTACCAATTTGAACAAGCCAGCGTCTTCCTTTCTTATCTTCAGCTTCAGGCTTTTGGAAACCTCCTCTAGCTTAGAAATGATCTCCGAAGCTGGTTTAAGAGATGTGAATCTAGTTTCTTGCTTGCTATAGACATCTCCAAAAATTCCTGCAAGATCAAACCCCGAAGACAAGGCGATAATATCGAAAGCGTTCAAGGTTACAAGCTGTGGTGGATCGTGGTTTTCACCTGAACCTCCTCCAGCTTCCAATAAATTAGCCTCTCTGACTTGTTTCTCCATCTTTTTCTGCTTCAAGTGTAAACCTTTTCTATACCTAGAACTCTCCTTGATTCTTGACATGGTGATTCTAGTCGCATGGTTAGGGTCCAACATCTTATACAATAATCTCTTTGCTTCAAGGGAAAACCCCCTCGGGCACTTAAACTGTGCTTTGCCTATCTTCCTATACATCTCCGTTCGATTAGAGTCATAGAAAGGGAGATAACCAACCAAAAGAACAAACAAGACAACCCCGCAAGACCAAATATCCGATTTCACGCCATCATATCCTTTACGGCTGATAATTTCAGGGGAAAGATAGGCATGTGTACCACACCCAGTGTGAAGAAGACCGTCTGGTCCTTTACATTCCGCAACTGCACTCAACCCAAAATCAGCAACCTTAAGATTATCATTGTCATCAAGCAACAGATTCTCTAGCTTAATATCGCGATGATACACACCTCGACTATGACAAAAATCAACCGCATTGATAAGCTGATAAAAATACTTCCAAGCAACATCTTCTCTTAATTTCCCTCTAGCAACTTTATTGAAAAGCTCTCCACCTTTACAATACTCTAAAACGAGGTAAATCCTCGATTTCGTCGCCATAACCTCGTGTAACTCGACGACATTCGGGTGTTTAACAATCCTCATAACAGATATCTCTCTCTTGATCTGATCAGTAATCCCATATTTTATAACTTTGTCTTTATCAATCATTTTGATAGCTACACTCTCATTACTAAGAACACTTCTTCCATAATAAACCTTTGCAAAATGACCTTGACCTAATAATCTCCCAACTTCATATCTATCAGTTAATACACTTGGTTTGTTCTCCATATTAATCTACAAAACCTTCAATTTTACATACACAATTGGATCAAAACTCAAAAACAATATATATAAAAAACCGATTTTGCTTCTTAATAAGCAAAAACCCAGAAAATCGGATTCGAAAAATACCTCTGATGAAGAAGATGAATCGACCGATCAATACGAAACTCAAAGGAAGACGAAGTACAAATCTCTGCTTTGACATTTGCATCATCTCTGCTACTCTCTGTCTTCTCAAATTTTTTTTGTTTTTTTTTGACTCGTCTTCTTCTTTAATTATATTTTTGATTTACCAAATTGAGAAAAAGAAACAGAAACAAAGAAAAATTCTACTACATATAGTTTTGGGCTTTTAGATATAATTGGGCCTTGGTCCATATACTTTTGGCTTTTTTAATGCGAATAGTCCCACATCGGAAGTATTGAGAAGAATCTTGTTGTGTATATAGGGCAAGAGAGTAGCAATGATCACGACCTTACTTGAACAGGATCAGTTCTATAGGTTCGTACCTCTGAATCTTCGATGTCTAAATAGACAAACCCTTCACCCCGGTTGATGAATCATGACCGTGCGATCAGAGCGTGATTAACGGCCACGATCACATCTCTTGACGTATCCGTCGCTGTAGATGATCGTTACTCGGCTTGGTCTAATCCTTGCCAGGGTGGTCGCACGGTGTTCTGACAGGCTCCCTTTTTTTTTGTTTTCTTTTAGACCAATCAATGATGGTTTTGTATAATTTGTTCAATATGTTGAACTGAATTTCTGAAGCAAAAGAGTGGAAAAAAGTGTCATTGAGTTTGTTACAACAATCTTCAATTTTTTTTTCAAGGTTATGTAAAGAATTAAATTGTCTGTTTTCGTGTTCCTGTGTTCCATAGAAGGATTGGTCTTTGATGCTTCTGTTTTTAGCTGAAATAGCTATAGAGTGTTTGTCCTTCTCCATGTTACTGCTACAAGTGTTGTGTTTGGTTCTTGTTTTACTACGCTTACGTGGTTGAAACTCGCTACGATGGTTCTTGTTGTTGATCTAGTTCTTGTTCATCTTGCAAACCACGCACCTACTTCTCGTCTTTCTCCTTCTCGCCTTGCCAAACCCATACGATATCCGCAAGAGCAGGCCTAAGATCTTCCTCCACTAGCTTTTGATACTCCATTGTATCCCCATTACATTTCTTTACTTCAACCAGGTGAAATGTCTCCGTCACTTGGAATATTTCGGCATCTATCGACAAAACTCCTTTTCTTCCTTCGTTTGATCCTTCGAGTTTGAACAAACCCGCGTCTTGCTTTCTTATCTTCAACTTCAGGCTTTTGGAAACCTCCTCTAGCTTTGATATGATCACCGAAGCAGGTTTCCTAGATGCGAATCTAGATTCTCGCTTGTCGTATACATCTCTAAAAAGTCCTGCAAGATCAAACCCCGCAGACAAACCGATGATATCGAAAGCATTCAAGTTTGCAAGCTGTGGCGGCTCGTGGTTTTCTCCGTTTTCACTTGGACCTGAATCACCTCCAGCTTCCACCGAATTAGCCTCTCTGACTTGTTTCTCCATCTTTTTCTGCTTCAACTGTAATCCTTTCCTAAACCAAGAACTCTCCTTGATTCTTGAGATAGTGATTCTAGTCTCATGGTTAGGATCCAACATCTTACACAAGAGCCTCTTAACCTCTGGAGCAAACCAACTCGGACACTTAAAATCCGCTTTACCTATCTTCCTATACATCTCCATAAGATTAGAGTCATGGAAAGGTAAATAACCAGCCAAAAGAACAAACAAAACAACCCCACAAGACCAAATATCCGCTTTCGTACCATCGTATCCTTTGCGGTTAATAACTTCAGGAGCGACATAAGCAGGTGTACCACAAGTAGTATGCAAAAGACCATCTTGTCTCTTACAATCTGCAAGCGCGCTTAACCCGAAATCAGAAACCTTAAGATCATCATTATCATCTAACAAGAGATTCTCGGGTTTAATATCGCGATGATACACACCTCGACTGTGACAAAAATCAACCGCATTGATAAGCTGATAAAAATACTTCCAAGCAACATCTTCTCTCAATTTCCCTTTAGCAACTTTATTGAAAAGCTCTCCACCTTTACAATACTCAATAACAAAGTAAATCCTCGATTTTGTCGCCATAACCTCGTATAGCTCGACGACATTTGGGTGTTTAGCGATTCTCATTACAGAGATCTCTCTTTTGGTCTGATCACTAAGACCAACTCTCAAGACTTTGTCTTTATCAATCATTTTGATAGCTACACTCTCGTTAGTATGAACAGTTCTTCCGTAATAAACTTTGGCAAAAGTACCTTGACCTAGTAATCTACCAACCTCGTATCTATCAGTTAATACACTTGGTTTGTTCTCCATCTTAATCTACCAAAAACAAAAAACAAAAATCAATCGATCTCTCTTTTTTACTAGAAATTAATAAGCAAAAACCCAGAAGAAGAATCGAATTACCTTTTAGAGAAGTAGATTATTCGAACAGAGAAATATGAACACAAAAGAGAGAAGATGTACGGATCTGTCTGGTTTGACTAGTGGCGTCAGAGCTCTCTGCTTCTCTGGCTTTGATTCTCTTTA